CTTTCCCTTCTCTTCCATTGTCCTTCATAAACAGACATACGACAAATTCTGGTCTTGTCATTTACAACCAGGCAATGTGAGCACAAAGCACATACAGAACATTACTACCAGTAGGAAATTCTGACCAGGCTCCCATGTCAACCCATGGCACTATTAAGCCAGTGGAAAATGGGATGTTCCACAGTATGCAATGTGCTCCCAGCAATGGTATCTGCTTCTGGATGAAATACAGGCTGTTTCCACACCTGCTGACTATTATAATACAGAGCCAGGGCCAAGGTGCTTTTCTGTCAGGTACAAGACTGAAACTGTGGAGTAAACACAGTATTCTCTGGAATACTGCTGAGCAGGGAGTGGAATTGCACAAGACAGGAGTGTTGTCAGGTTTTAAAGGGTAGTAAGGTGCTACGTGGGCAAGGGCAGTCTCATGCAAGTGAACCTGCCACTTGTTTCCATGTACTTTTGAACCAGCTGGGTTTCAGGGAGAGCCCTGCATGGCTTCTAGCACCAGGACTGTAACTGTGCATGCTGAAGATCAGATCATTACCTGAATCCTTCTTCAGAACTTCAACTTAACCTCACACAGTTTTCTGAGTCTCCTTGTACCCTTCCTGGTACTTGATGTTCTGTCCTCTGGAACTCACCCAGTTTACAAGCATTTCGGGCTTCACTTTAATGCCTTCATAGATGGTGAGCCAAAAAACTCAAGAAGGTCAGGTTTAACTAGGTTAACCAACTTCCAGGATAGGATTCCTTTTAAAACACTCAGGTTTCAGATTTTAGAACACAGAAGCACTCCTAAGGTATGACCATGACCCTCAAGCGCCTTGTCTGACTTTCTCAACTCTCAATTTCTCACTGTTTCGGAACTGGAAGAGCCCTTTCTATCTTTTCACTAAGTCCCATTTGGCTTTCAGCCATAACTCTTCTGGGAGGCAACAGATACTTTTTCTGGTATTCTGCCTAAAATATATCATTGTAGCATTAATTTAAACAAAACTTTATCAGTTAATCATGTGTCTCAAAATGTTAGTTATAATAAAAGTTGCAAGCTATTTTGAGCTTCACTCTTGTCTTGGCTGAGAGAGAGGTTAGAGAATGATGGGAGCAAGGTTAGCCTCATGTGAATGAAGTGGGAGAAGTCTGAGGAGAGAGTCTGGCCTGTGTTAGTAGAGTTGAAGGACTTTATTAAAGATGGAATCATCCAATACTCTATGAAAGACAACTCTGAAATGCTGTATGCTTTACAAATCCACAGCTGACATCACGTTTCCATGAAATACACTTTTCTACCACCTGTTTATCTCACTGGCTCCTTGCAGGCCTCTTGTTATGACTGAATCCTGTGAGTCTATTGCATGGGATTGTAGCCAAACCACCCAACCAGCTGAAAGGAAGCGTCTCTACCACGGGATTACGGTCCACCTCCCTAGCCATGAGTGAGCAGGGCAATTTACTCATGATGGAATCATGCATGTTACTGTGATTTACAGGAGAAATTCTACTTTAACTTGCATAATCAATTCCCTGGAGATGGTACGGCATATGTTGCCTTTTATCATTTGTATGATGAATATAACATGCTTTCAACATATTCTGACAGGAGAGTGAAAATCTAGCTGATGCCGAAGAGAGATGTGAAGGACTCATCAAAAGTAAAATCCAGCTGGAAGCTAAAATTAAAGAACTAAATGAAAGAATGGAAGATGAAGAGGAGACAAATGCTGAACTGACAGCAAAAAAGAGGAAACTTGAAGATGAGTGCTCTGAGCTGAAGAAAGACATTGATGATCTTGAATTGACTCTGGCCAAAGTGGAAAAGGAGAAGCATGCAACAGAGAATAAGGTAACAGAGGATTCAGGGAACTGTTCTTCCTCAGACAGTTTTCAGTTTTGAGGAAAGTTGCAGTAATTCCTAAGAGTTCCAGTGGAAGTTATATGTGCCCACGGCATAGAACAGAAGTATTGCCACTGATTTTGCAGATGTCAAATAATTCTTTTAATGTCTAAGAAACCCAGGTCTCTGCTAGGATGGACATTCTTCCATTGCATTGGCTTCAAGATACAATGAGAGTTCTTCCTGACTTCTAAGGTTCAGACTGTTACTGTATTAAGGAGGGTCTGTATCAGGTGGTCATTAACTCATTGATCTCGCTGTAAAAACACAGTCCTCTTCACATATATCTCAATAACCAATGTGAAGAGCCCACGTCTGTGGTGACACTGTTCAGTCCTGCTCTGGAAACAATACAGGCAGTGATGTAATTATAACCTTGAGGTTCCCTTCACTGCCATCACCAAGAACAATCCTGGATCCTAAGTTTGCAAATACAGATATGCTGGACATTTCTATACTAATGCTTAGAGGAAATCTAGTGGATGTTGGGTATTAGGATGAAGGAGTGTCTTATCAGATATCAGGGCCATACAGCTAAAGTAATTCAGCAGAAAGGACTTTCCTTATCCTTACAACCAGGCTTTCCCACCCGAATGAGACAAATGGGAAGGAAGGGTCAGGCAGGCTAATGCAGAGAGCTTGATGTGTTTGAGACAAGGTTGCTAGTGTGCAACGCTCCACTGAAGTATGAGAAATACGTCTCCAAGATAAAAGTAACAGAGGTGTTATGTTCAGCAGCCCACCTAGAAGCTCTTGCCCTACAATTCATGATCACCTGTTCCAAGGGCATAAGGCTCTTTGTCATGTTACCGTGCTCCTTTCATTTTTATGGAAAAATTAATATATCTGGCTACTGGCACATGATAATACCTTTTTTAATAATCTCACTTGCTGAGAATTTGCAGCTGTTTTTCTAGCAGATATATCACATGAAGGGAATACATTTTTCTCAGCAGGTAAATTTCTTTTGTAAATCTCAGAGGAAAAGCTTGCAGAGACAAGTGAAGATCTAGCACATGTTCCACTATAGAATTCAGCAGAATAGGGCTGGTCATCAAACACAACTAAAGCAAGAATTCCTACCACGGCAGGACCAGAGAGGTGTGGCTGTCAGGCATGACATTTGTTGCTACACTCCTCACGAATGATACCGACTCTGTGGAGAGCATTTTGACTACATCCATCCAAGTTTTTGCAAAGTTGCACTCACTGTTTTCTCAGTGTGTCATTTCTCAAGGCACCCCCTCACAGTGTGGACGCTGGCTTTCTAACAGGTTAAGAATCTTACAGAAGAGATGGCAGCTCTGGATGAAAATATTTCTAAGCTCACTAAGGAGACAAAGGCCCTCCAGGAAGCCCACCAGCAGACACTGGATGACTTGCAAGTTGAGGAAGACAAAGTCAGCACACTCACCAAAACCAAGACCAAACTGGAGCAGCAAGTAGATGATGTAAGAAGAAGTTTTGGGGTTGTGTAGGTGGATTCTCTGAATTAGAAGAGACTATAGAAATCCGTAGCTGGGACTATAAGCAACACCTAAACCAGCCAAGCCATCTCTGATAACCCCAGCTAACAAATCATTGTCAGTTGGCAGGGTATTTTGGAATCTAGTATACCTTTCATCTTTCCCTGACTATTTAAACTGTACTTGTCACTGAGTATTTCAGACTTTTGTGCCTCATTTTCACTAATTAGCTGGAGCGGTATCTGAGGCAGTTGGATGTTTGCTGCAGAATTATTTGTGTTCTCTTACTATGCAGCACAGATATACTCCAGGAAGTTACATCCACTGGGAATATGTCAATATTTAGCAGTCTACATTCTAGGAACTGCAGCCACTGACAATTTTCATTTCTGTATTTTTCAGAAACTTGCATTTCAGCTGTGCACAACCAAGCTGTGGGAAACTTAATATCTGAAACCATACAGTAAAGGTAGCTCTGATCTTACAGGTGGAGATGAGAAGTACACACAGGATCTGATTGTTTTCTCTGTTCATCAATTTCCAACTCTACTTAGATTTTTAGATTAAGAATGGTTAATTTCAAAGTATAATTTATGTGTTTCAAAGTACGGTTTATGTGGTTTAGCTTGAAGGATCTTTGGAACAAGAAAAGAAACTGCGAATGGACCTTGAGAGAGCGAAGAGAAAACTGGAGGGAGACCTGAAAATGTCTCAGGATTCCATCATGGATCTAGAAAATGACAAGCAACAGAAGGAAGACAGGCTAAAAAAGTATTGAACTGAATTTTTATGCTCTGAATTCTAAAACTTAGATTTTATCTTACTGGTGAATCTGCATTCTTGTTCTTTACAGAAAGGATTTTGAAATTAGCCAGCTGCAAAATAAAGTTGAAGATGAGCAGGCTCAAAGTTCTCAGCTGCAAAAGAAAATTAAGGAGCTTCAGGTAAAGTCTAACAGTTATTTAGTGACATTTTTTGTGCTCCTTCACCGTCTGTGCTGATATAAATGGATGTGAATGTTTGCTTTTCATTTCTTAATGATAATTTCAAATCTGTCTATTCAGAAGTCCTTATTTAACCAATTAACTTCCACAGGCTCGAACAGAGGAACTGGAGGAAGAAATTGAAGCTGAACGTGCAATCCGTGCAAAGATCGAAAAGCAGCGAGCTGACCTGTCGAGGGAGCTAGAGGAGATCAGCGAGCGCCTGGAAGAAGCAGGAGGGGCCACTGCAGCTCAGATCGAGATGAACAAGAAGCGTGAGGCCGAATTCCAGAAGGGGCGTCGCGCCGTGGAAGGGGCCACGCTGCAGCACGAAGCCACGGCTGCCGCCCTGCGCAAGAAGCACGCGGACAGCACAGCTGAGCTTGGGGAGCAGATCGACAACCTGCAGCGAGTGAAGCAGAAGCTGGAGAAGGAGAAGAGTGAGCTGAAGATGGAGATTGACGACCTGGCCAGTAACATGGAGTCTGTCTCCAAAGCCAAGGTTGCAGCACAGGAAGACGCATTTCTCATCACTACCACTGTTCTTCTGAACAGTTAGATGAGCTGAAGGATATGTTTTCTATCTCTCAACAGAGCAATTTGGAGAAGACGTGTCGAGCTCTCGAAGACCAGTTCAGTGAAGTCAGAACCAAAGATGATGAACATATTCGATTAATTAATGATCTGAACATGCAGAAGACACGTCTACAGACTGAGAATGGTGTGTCCCTAGATGAAATGCAAAAGTCCTCTGTGCCAAGTACTTAGAAATCCTGTCTGAATGCCTTTGTGGTTTGTAATATATTCACTGTTGGGTGATCTGAACAAAACTCAGAATGTAGAGTTTCCTCCTGGTGGCAGTTATAGAAACTCCACCCAAAAAAACCCAAACCAAAATAAGCACTGTCATTCAAAATGAAAATTTGAGTTTGTGGCCAGTTCGTGCCCTTTCCTTTGACATCTGCACACTCTTTTATACCATTTTCCTACTGGTGGGAATGAAATTGCTATTTCCCCTTCATTTTACCACATTGTATCTTGTAATCACTTTCCATATGGCTAGCTCTTCTCATTCACACATTTAATGTCACATATCTCTGAAAAAAAATAAACATTTTCTCATTAGGTGAACTTACTCGGCAACTGGAGGAGAAGGAGTCCTTGATTTCTCAGTTGACTCGAGGCAAACAGGCTTTCACGCAGCAGACTGAAGAGCTGAAGAGGCAACTAGAGGAAGAAAATAAGGTGATTTTCTTAATTTGCACCCAAAAAAGATGTAAAATAAAATAATGAACTAAAGCAATAAATGAGATTTCTCCTCAGGGAAAGGCTGAGACATCAGAATAGTGAAACTTTTGAACTTTGTCTGGGAGTATAACGTAGAGGAGAGACATTAAAAGTTAAATAAGGAAGACAGTTTAAGTCTATCTCTTCATGCTTTCTGAAGTTCGAAAACATAAGTAAAAATAGGTCCGTGTGCATACCTTACTGCTACAGGAACCCCCTGAGGCAAAGAAAACAGCAGCACCCAAGAAGAGAGATCAGGACTGCAGGTGTACTTAGGATTAGATATGACAAAACAGTTTAAAGTTTCTTCCACCTCCAGATAAACACCAATTTCTGCCTTGAGATAATTCCCTCTCTGTTGTATAATTGCCTGGAGCAGTTGTTGCAGATGGGTTTGAGAGGTGGTATCCCTGACAAAATGGGTAGGCACCCTATCTTGTTTAACAGCATCAAGTCTGAAACACAGAGTTCCTAATGGTATTCGCTTTGCTCCTTTTGTTGCTCTAGGAACTGCTGCACACGGGCAGTGAGATCCAGTCACAAATTGTTAATGCTTCAACAATTTCTATAACTTTAACTACCCAGGCCAAGAACTCCCTGGCCCACGCCTTGCAGTCTGCTCGCCACGACTGTGACTTGCTGCGGGAGCAATATGAGGAGGAGCAGGAAGCCAAGGGGGAGCTGCAGCGCGCCCTGTCCAAGGCCAACAGCGAAGTGGCCCAGTGGAGAACCAAATACGAGACGGACGCCATTCAGCGCACGGAGGAGCTGGAGGAGGCCAAGTACATGGAGGGGTGGTCTGGAGCAAGAGGAAGGATATTTAAGTGTAAATGTGAGAAGGAACTGAAGGGAACCAGAATATGCTTGCAGTGGGAATAGGCAGAGCAGTGTGCTTTAATGTGTTAGGAGTGAAAAGGGGAGTGATTAGAGGCTTAAAGGGGGAGAAGAAGTGGAGTCTTGGGAGTGTCTACAGAAAGAAGGATTCCAGTGCATTAACTATGGAGTTAATCATAGTACCTAAAAAACCACATTCTTTATACTGCCAATACTGAGGGTGTGTTTCTGGTTCCTCTTACACCTTGGGTACGTATATACTGATTAAGCCTAAGCACCACTCCAGTGTGCTGTGTCATCCCAGACTCCTGTTCACACTCTCTGTTCACACCACCACAACCCTCTGTCTGTGCCCACCTCTTTCAGGCCAAATTCCCATCCTGTCTACTGTTTGCGAAGGTCAGAATTTTCCTTCTCTCAGGGCTGATTGTCTCATCCTGCAGGAAGAAGCTTGCTCAGCGCCTGCAGGAGTCAGAGGAGCAGATTGAGGCTGTCAACTCCAAGTGTGCTTCACTGGAGAAGACAAAGCAGAGGCTTCAGGGGGAAGTGGATGACCTCATGATTGACGTGGAGAAGTTAAATGCAGCCTGTGCAGCATTTGATAAAAAGCAGAAGAATTTTGACAAGGTTCATTCAAAAAGCCTGCCAGATCTGAACATTTTTAGACATCTGATAGGCTGAGCCAAATTCTGCAATCGTGAAAGTTCTGTACTCACAGTACGACAAATTACATTTTACCCAAAGCAAAGATATGGTAAGGAGCACCTAATGGGGTGTATAGTAAGGATAATGTCAGCGTGAGTCACTCCAAATGGCCACAGTAAAAACTAAGGTAGCTTTCTGATAGTTTTAAAAACATCAAGCCTTTGCAAGGGAGGCAGGGAGGATCCACAGCATACAAGTTAGAATCATAGCATCATAGAATGTGTTAGGTTAGAAGGGACTTAGAGATCATCTAATCCAACCCCTGCCATGGGCAGGGATGCCCTTAACCAGCCCAGGTTGCTCAAGGCCTCATCCAACCTGGCCGTGAACATCTCCAGGGAGGGAGCAGCCACAGCCTCTCTGGGCAATCTATCCCAGAGTCTTGCCACCCTCATGCTGAACATTTTTTTCCTAAGATCCAATCTAAACCTATTCTCCTTCCATTTAAATCCGTTTCGCTTTGTCCTATCACTGGACACTTGTAAAAATTCCCTCCCCAGCCTTCCCGTAGGTTCCCTTGAGGCACTGGAAGGCAGCTATTAGGTCCCCGCAGAGTCTTCTCTTTTCAAGACTGAACAATCCCAGCTCCCTCAGCCTGTCCTTGTAGCAGACTGCTCCAGCCCCTGGATCACCTTTGTGGCTTCCTCTGAACTCATTCCAACAGATCCATGTCCCTCTTATGGTGGGGACACCAGAACTGGACACAGTATTCGAGGTGGGGTCTCACAAGAGCAGAGTTCTCACAAGTTCCAGCCTTCTCTGCTTTTAATAACATGTAAAAGAATCAATGCTGTTTGACCAAGTGATGTTGCAGAGCCCTGCACCTTGGCCCAGCCTTGTGTGAGTGACTCGGGTGACTGTGCTACACAAGAGGCTCTGCAGGGCTGTGGTATCAAACTCGGGAGACAATCAGAACTTGATCCTTCTCGGTGGGCTGACTGCAAGACCACTGTTCTGCAATAATAAAAAGGCTCTCACAGCCTCATTTAGACTAATCACATTGTGTCCAGGCTGGTGAGAAACCAAACTCCTCCCTGAGAGCTTGAGGCACGCATTGGTGCTGGCTGGAGAGGATCATTTCAGTAACTTCCACCAAAATAGCCAAAGTATGCATCACGTTGAATTGATTGTCACAGGTAGGGAACAGGGCAAAGCAAAAGACTGTAAGAGCCTCTTGGGTTCCTGTCCTGTAAACATGCAGAGACAGGAGTGTTGCAGAATGGGTGATTCTTGTGCTCCTGTCACTGCAGGTCCTAGCTGAATGGAAGCAGAAGTACCAGGAGAGCCAGGCTGAGCTGGAAGCTGCCCAGAAAGAGTCTCGCTCTCTCAGCACTGAGATCTTCCGGATGAAGAATGCCTATGAAGAAATGCTTGACCAGGCTGAGACTGTCAGACGGGAGAACAAGAACCTCCAACGTGAGTTCAGATCTCTATCATGCTTCCACATTTCTAAGCTACCGGAGCTCTGCCTCTTCCCAGGGTTTTGTTCTTTATGATTTTCCCACAAAGCTCAGGTTAGGCAACTTACTTTCCTGCTCATCTGACCATAAAGTCACCTGTAAGCACATGCCTGCACCTCATTACTGCATCCTGCTTTTTCACGGTATTCCCCCTCCTTCGCACCATCATAATCCCATGAAGAGGGATCAAATTAACCAAACGCACAGAAATTATGAAACCAGGTACCTGTGGGTTTTTTTTCAGATTACTTCAGTCACTGCCATTAGAAAAAATCTGGAGGGTGTTGTCTGTCTCCTGGTTATTGGAG